TGAATAAAATAACCCAAATAACCAAAACACACAAAAAAGGGTGTTACCAGGGTAGTGATAAGTTTATTGAAGTCTCTTTTTGAATGCATAAATCCGGTTGAAGTTTTTTGATCTCAATGGCTTCGGCAAAACGGAAGTTTGTGCTGATGATGTTGTTCAGAAGAACGATGAAAGCTCCACGACCAAACCATCTAGCTCAGAGAACAAAACTCCAACAAAATCATCCACCTGAGCTACAAATCTTCTCCACCATCTCAGTGGTTGTACTTCTTTGTCTATTGGTAATTTTGAAAGCATGCGGAATGTCGATGGTGTGCCCGGTATCAAGTAGATGTCGAGCTATTGCGCTGTTGAAAGCCTTAATCCCTCACAGCCTCAAGTTTCTTGGAACATGCTCAGAAATGCGGACATGCACTCTTCTCTCAGTTCTTCCAATGTATGTGCTTTGGCACGTAAATGTAAATTGGTAGATGCAGTTGGAGCTACTAAGAAAAGAGGGCTTGTCGATTTTGGTTTGTTGAAGTGAGCAGTTCGTTTGTCATACTGTCGTAAATTTTGCTGCTGGGTAGGCCACTTTTCAACGTAGAATTTAATCTGTGACTAATTATTCCGGCAATTTCATCTCCTTTCAAACGTAAATATAAGAAGAAAGTTTTCTTTTCTACTCCATAGTACTTTATCCGAGGATTGGTTAGGGCATATTTCTGGATGAATCTCAATGGGTATTCATTATCACGTAGAACATTAGTAATCAGATTAATTTCATCATCAAGGTATTCTTTTGAACAGATTTTTTGAGCGCGGTCAAAAAGGCTTCGTACAATACCCTTTTTGTAACTCATTGGGCAGAAACTGTGGTAATTGAGATATAGACCACTCCAGGTATTTTTATGATGAACATGTCTATGTAATTTACCATCAGATGTTCGTCGGATCCCAACATCAAGGAAATGGAATTTGTCTTCTGCTTCTTGTTCCATAGTAAACTCTATGTCCTCGTGTGCTTTATTAAATAGATCGAATGGCTTAATGGAGTGTTCGTGATTGTTGCAGACGAGGAATATTTATACTCCTCCCCCTATTACATATTTCTTAAACCACATTATTATTCACACATTTCCACCACCTGATCCTCTTAAATTATGTTCACTTTTCAAATTCTATTTCATTATTATTACGTAACCCATCTTAACATTATGCAATTCCATTATTACACCACCCACATCGAATTAATTCCCTGACCTGTACTAGCCCATAGTTATTATTGTAATTCAGTTAGTTACATTCATTTATCCCAATTGCGTTCACACTATCTCAGTGTAAAAATATTCTGTCACCTTTTTTTGGTTTGTAAGCAGCTGATGAGAAACCTTGAAATATTATGAATTCATACTATTCTGTATCAATATTTGTTCTTGCTCTATTTAAATTTCAGTGGTTAAGATCATGAGTCAGTTGAAGCTAGACCACCATTGAAAACCCGGAAGCACTGGAAGGCCGTTTCGTCTTATTGTGGCACTCCTCAGCAGTGCGCATCCACGATCCCGCACCACGCGGGGCTCGGACTTAGGACCTACTGGCTTCGCGCGCGGAGTTCTAGTGGAAAGCCGTTATCAGTGGAGTTCAACCAGGTCTGTTGTGAGATATCAGTTCACTGAAGACAATGGTAAATGGTGGCGCAACTTCGTGGATTGGTTGAAGTTAGACATTAACACCGTTGGATGCCGGCTCAGTGGTCTAATGGTTAAGTGCTCGCGCGCGAAGCCAGTAGGCCCTGAGTTCGAGCCCTGCGTGGTGCGGGATCGTGGATGCGCAATACTGAGGAGTCCCATACTAGGACGAAACGGCCGTCCAGTGCTTCGAGGTTTTCAATGGTGGTCTAGCTTCAACTGACTCATGATTTCAATCTGTTATAACTTATGATTTTATGCCCTTGGTCCTTTGTTTTTCACCTCGTCGCTAATTGTTGTAAATTGTGCCCTGTGTCCTATTAATGTATGATGTAACGATACTGCCAATTAGAGAACAGTGATTGATCGATCGAACCAATAATACATGAAAAACCGTACAAGAAATCTTTACTGGTCCTGCTTCCTGCCTAGCTCTGCCTGTTAGAGTTCAGAACACCAATCTTAGTTTTTGCAATACGAATCATTTATTTCAAACATACGAAGTTTATATATCGACCAAACAGACCACATCGTAGCATAGAAGATAACATTTGTACAAGATCTAGTCAAAAGTGGAAATAGACTGGGTATAACTCAAGAATGATAAATCGTATAATAATAGTTCATAGGTCAAAATGAAGCTTATGATAAGAGGAACATGAATATGAACAGTTTAGTTATTGAGGAATTATACAATACAAAATATACATATAGTATTAGTTTAGAAATGGATCCCAAAGGTTACCACTCATTATTCTCATCAGAATCTAACTAAAACGATGTTGACTTGTATATATTATGACATTGTGAATGTCTTCTATCTATCTTCAATTAAATCATTTGTAAGCATATACATAATTCTTTTCGGTTTTGCATTAAATTTACAAGAATATTTAAGTAGTATAGTAAATTCAACTTTGAATAATAATCTAAATGAATAACTATACATGTATTGTATATATTGTAGCCTAATGCTGGATGGAAAGCTCAAAGAACTAATCGATTTAGTACAATTGAAGATGCTAAATTAATGATGGGTGTTATATTGGAAGATAATAATCAAAGAATTAAATTACGTCCAACAATTAGACATAATGATGTTAATATTAAATTACCAAAATTCTTTGATTCACGTAAACATTGGAAGAATTGTCCAAGTATTCGAACAATACTTGATCAATCTTCATGTGGTTCATGTTGGGTAATAGATGATTTGTTATAGTTTACAAAATAATGTATATATATATATATCGCTTGGTGCTAATTTACATGATCAGTTTCCTTGTTAGCACATGTGGATTCTGTGCAAACTGTCTCGATATAGCCTTAAGTTACAAGGTTTTCTAAACAAAGATGGATAGCAGGTAGAAGTGGAATCCAGTTTTACGTATGTATCGGCAATAGGGTGAAGTTTTACATTCACTTGATGTTGTTTACTTGTTGTTTACTTGATCAGTAGTCTCTTGTTGGCATATGTGAATTCTGTGTATACTGCCTTGGTATAGCTTTAAGTCACAAGCTTTTTTATGTAAAGATGGATAGTGAGTAGAAGTGGAATTCAGTTTTACGAGCGTTTCGTTCTATTTCGGACTCATTATATAAATATCGTTTCTATTTCACTTTATTATAGAATCATGTCGTTTAATGATGTTATATACATTTTATTCATATCAGTTTCTTTTCATAGTTTCACTGCCTAGTAACTGATAAATAGTATCTTTTTATAGATACTCCTAGTTTGTAATAAACCTCTCTAAGTTACTGTCTACGACTTGGTGGTGTAGAAGAGATGTAATATGGCTAGAAGCAGAATTCAGGATGAGTATTTTTTACTTAATGAGTCTCATCATTTAGATATTCCTGGGATGCAGGTACATCAACCTATAACCATTTTGTTGAATTTATATATAAATTTGCAAATCATTTGCTATTCACATTCCTTTCTTCCAGTCCATATCGTCCCATGATATCTTCATAGTCGGTGTTGTCCATTCCGACCACGGGATTTAGATGTTCTATCAAGATAGTCCGGTTCCTTACCTGAGCACTTCTGTACGATTGACTGGGGCCTCTGAACTTTATCATCTTTATTGCTATCATCGATGGATGTATAGTACTAGATAAAATTCAATGTGATTACTTCATTCTTTGTTTTGAAGGATGCTTTGAGAATTCTGGATCGATGGTATTTCCATCCTATGGGTGCTTTTCATACTTCTTTGGACAGCATTACAGGGAATTCCTTCGTGTATGGAGTATTTTTTTCCTTCATGACCAGAATACAACAGCATCTCTCTTGAATCTAATCTTTTCTATTCGGCATTAGCCTAAAGAAGGGAAATTTGAGAAAGTATGAGGAATTTAGGCATCCCACTACTGTCAGTACCAAGAAAAGTTGTAAACAGAGTATTATTGAATCAGATGAAAGACTAAGTAGACGCCCAACTTCGAGGGGAACAGGCTAGATCCCGCAACGACCGCTCATTCACAGATCGCGTCGCGACACTTTAAATCACTGCTGAACAATCAATTGAATTTATTTCGTCATTATAAATAAACTTCCTCGACCATGAGAAAGCGTTTGATAGCGTGGATTAAAAATTATGGTGTACCTGAAAATCGTCAACATCATATGGAATAAACTGTGAAATTAGGCATGGAGGAGAACTGATAGATGCATTCCAAGTAAATACCGTCGTTAGACAGGACTGTTTACTCTCGCCTTTTTTGAATTTCTTAGAAAACGTCCCATCCATATCAACAAATGCAGGTGAAAACAGACAGTACAACAGTAGCCTCTGTATCAGTAGGCCTCATCATACACAACGGAAAAACAAGATCTCGAAATACAACATAGAAAGAATCAGCTAAATCATACTTAAAGTAGAATCTCTGGAAGATGGGAAAAGTTATGCGCACCTCGGCAACATCACCAATAAACAAGTAAGATCTGAGGTCGATGTAAAGGCGTGGGTTGGCAAACTAAGGATAGCATTCCTACAGTTGAAGAACATATGGAATTCGAAACTACTGTCAATCAATATGAGAGTCAGAATCCACAGTGCGAAAGTCAAGACAGTCCTACCGTACGGAGCTGAAACTTAGAGAACTACTACAACCATCATCAAGAAGGTACAAATAGTTGTAAATAGCTGTCTACACAAGATACTCAACATCCATTGACCGGATACCATCAGCAACAGCCTTCTGTGGGAAAGAACAAACCAGCTTCCATGTGAAGGGGAAATTAGGAAAAGACGATGGATATGGATAGGGAATACATTATAGAAATCACGAGACAAGCGCTAACTTGGAATTCTGAGGGGAAGAGGAAAAGAAGAAGGTCAAGGAACATATTATGTAGGGAAATAGAAGCAAATGTGAAAAGAATGAATAACAAGTGGAAATAGCGGGAGCCGAGGACAAGGTTTGATGGAGAGTGATGGTGAGTGGCCTATGTTCCTCCACGAAGTAAGTAAGTATGAGAAGATGAGAATTTATAAAAAAAAATAACATTAAGATGAAACTCTTGCCAAATACTCTTTGATTTACAGTTATACTTCAAATGATGTTCCAATTCTGTTGGATTGTGTAACCGTTCTTTTCTGTCTTAAAATGATGTAGGCTTTTGGAGCTGTTGAATCAATGAGTGATCGTATCTGTATTCATTCTAAAAGTAAAATCTCTGTAGAATTAAGTGCTGTTAATCTATTAAGCTGTTGTACAAGATGTGGTCTTGGTTGTAATGGTGGTATTCCAGGAATGGCATGGGATTATTGGAAATATGAAGGTATTGTTACAGGAGGATCAAATGAAACACATACAGGATGTCAACCATATCCATTCCCTAAATGTAATCATCATTCAAGTACAAAAAGTTATCCACTATGTGAAAGTCATTATTATGCAACACCAGAATGTCATAAAACTTGTCAAGATGATTATCATAAACCCTATAAAAAAGATAAATTTTATGGTTAGTATTATTATACATTGTTTGAATTTGTATATTTTGTAGTAGTGAATATGTTTATATAGGTTAAATGTTCTCATGAGAAGAAGGTCTTAGGTTTGTGTCCCGTGCGTGCAAGAGAGTGTGTGTGCTCAATGCTGAGGAGTCTCATGCTAGGACGAAACGGACATTCAGTGCTTCTAGATATTCAACAGTGGTTTAAGATTGATCGATTTGATCGATTTCAATAAAATCCCGAAAAAAGTGAAGACAATATTATTAAGAAGGACAGACAGTCTATTTTATGCGTGATATTTAGTTTATCTATCGTACTAATGGGATGTTGAAGACAATTCTCAAACAGTTACAAGTCAAGATATCTGTTCATTAATTAAGTGACAAGAATACTGCGCAGCAGTTCATTCTATTCTACTTTACGATGCGAAACGTAGCCATTAAGAGTGAAAGGTACTTGTAAGCTACTACTATGTGACCACAGATGCCTTTGAAATATTGCTCGCATCTGCTGAGATTACTGAGTAAGTAATAGTGTGGTTAGACACGTGGTATTGGGAAATGTTAGTAAATGAGGTTGTAAATCTTCATTGACTGAGAAGGTTGGGCCACGTGTTGCGTATGCCTGAACACCTATTACCACGACACGCAATGCTGACTAGTGTTGGAGATGGTTGGAAGAAAGTTAGAGGTGGCCAAACCAAAACATGACATCAGTCCATAAAGTCACCATCTTCTAGACTGAGACATATTAGTAGATGCAGACTACTCGGTTGGGATCCGCACGACTATCGTAGCCAATGTTTAGAGACTGTATGTGACATGGCTCAGAATCAATCACAATGGCGTAGGTATATACACCCTTTGTTTTCCCTTCAACTGTGAGGATAAAATTACTTTATAACTTTCTTTCTCCGAACTCATTCGTTCTCCCTGTATCATCTTGTTGTACTAATAAGTTTTGGCAACATGGACCGATGCATATATATGCCTGGTCCTACATTGTAGCTGATTGACTGAGTTATAAAGAATTATATCTAGAAAGATGACATAAGTCGTCAAATGAGATTACTTACTTTAAATCCAGGTCTTACAAATCACTGATAGTTTTTCAACACAAACTGATAGTAAGTGTGGTCATGAAGACAATATAGTTCAGTTTCAACCAGAATGGATGAGTGAAAACGTCTATGACTGTGACAACTATTGGTGTTGGTCCGAAATCTACCTTCAAGTTGTTTAGATCAGTAATAACATGACAAGTTAATCGATAGAAATCAATCAGGTTGAAGAACAATGTGATCAAACGAATATAGACAGTATTCCATAGAAATGTTTTTATTGACATTAAAATTATCAATAAAATATAGAAGGATAACTATCCATCACTGACGATATACTCAGATATGTGGTTACTACAACTACAACAACTACTACTACTACTACTAATATTGTTGTGAATGAGAACAGACAAATGAGGACAATCGAATGAACTCAACTATTAAGTTACTATAATATCCACGAAAATCCTATCTGATTGTACCCTTAATCATCATCTCACTAGTGACGGTCTCCAAGAGGTATTTCCTGGAGTTCTAGTGAGAAGCCTTGAACAGTGGAGTTCAATCGGCTCTATTATGAGATAGTAACTCACTGATGACAACAGTGGACGGTGGCGCAATATCGTGGATTGGTTGAAGCTGGACATTAGCAACGTTGAATACCGACCTAGTGGTATAAGTTCGAATCCCGTGAATGGGATCGTGGATGCGCACTGCTGAGGAATCCCATACCAAGACGAAACGGCCATCCAAATCTTCCAGGTTTTCAATGGTCTAGTCTAGCTTCAATTAACTAATGAATTTGACGATTAAATTACTATAATTTCCACAAGACCATTATCTGATTACAATCGAATGTATTTGAACACATAATTACAGAACATCTTAGTCAAACCTGAAAACCGTACAGTAAATTCCTAGTTTGTAAAATGTCAATCAATTGTCTCGGACCTGATTGTCTTTTCATTTCCACACTAATCATCCTTTGTTATGGTCTTCTTTTCTTTGATCTTTCTAACCATATTCCTTTAGTAATTTCATTCTCCATTGATGATGATGCATACTACTTATATATGTTGATATCAGTAGTACACACCACCGTTCAATTTATATTTGTTTTTCTTTTCTCTTCATTTTCAAAAGGTAAAACTTCTTATAATGTAGCCAGTGAAGAAATTTCAATCATGAAAGAGATTTTATTAAATGGTCCAGTTGAAGGTGGATTCGATGTCTATGAAGATTTTCTTCATTATAAATCTGGTGTTTATAAACATATCACTGGTTCATATTAAGGTGGTCATGCTATACGTATACTTGGTTGGGGTATTGAACACAATCATATACCTTATTGGTTATGTGCTAATTCATGGAATGATCAATGGGGTGATCATGGTTATTTTAAAATTTTACGTGGTACAAATGAATGTGGCATTGAATCAGCTATATCAGCTGGTTTACCAAAGTTACATCAATAATTTATATCTACCGAATTCATTTAGATAAACAAATGAATGAGATCACATTATGGATTGATATTATGATTTTGTTTCTATGTGTATTATCTTCAACATTCAATATAAGCTATTGATCATTTGTACGATGGGTACATAGTGTGTATTGTTATTCATTCGGTATTATATGTTTCTGATTCCTTTCTAATTTGTTATGAGGTTATGGAGATTATTAAGTTTTGATTAAGATCATGAATCGAACAATGTGAGATCATCATTGGAAACCTGGAAGCACAGGATAGCCGTTTCGTCGTACTGTGGGACTCTTCAGTAGTGCGTCTCTGCGATCTCGCACTCGGGATTCGAACCCAGGATGTTAGATCTTGCGTGAGGACGCTTAACTTGTGAATAACTGAGCCGACCGGTATACAACGATGTAAATGTCTAACATCAACTAACCTACGAAAGTGAGCAGTTATCTTCCATTGTACTGAGGTAGGTAACTGTTTTCACATAGATTAGCTCCATTTGTCACGACTTCTCACTAGAACTCCGAGAATAAACTAAAATAAATATTGCTGGATTCACTTGGTAGTGTTAACTTGATTAACGCGACTGGGTTCGAGGCGAACTTTATTGAGTTCGAATCCCAGAGTGAACATCAACTCTGATGCATGTACATCCAGCTGATGATTCCCAAATAGGGAGAAACGCCCGTGCCGCTATTCATATTTTGTTTAAACTGTTGCTGGAGTTTTGAATGTAATTAGTAGTTTTAGTCTGTTGAGTCAAATCTGGTAACCATTGAGTTTTCTAATTACTACTGTCAATACGTGTAGAGTGAGTTCTTATCTTTAAATACCAAACCGTAGCTTGATGACATCGGATTGTAATTTGATCAATTAACAATTGTGAGTTCCTTCTTAGTCAAACTGTTTGATATATTTTTATTATGATTAATCTGTAATGAAACATAGCTGACGCTTTTGACGTTGTGGATGTGATCTCACCGTGATATTACAAATATAGTTGATAGAATGGATTAATATAATTTTAGAAAATTCTTCATTACTGAGAAGTTATTACAGTGCAGTGTACGCTAACTGATTAGCGGGTTTTAGCAAGATATTTTTATGGGACGGTGATGCTGACCCCACAGAAAACACTCCTCCTTGACACGTGCTTGGGACCGGCAGTAGCCGTGGAAGAGCTACAGACCTGATTAAGTTGAAATGAAAATTAGGCAAAGACGTTGGAAATGGATAAGACATGTATAACCGATATCATCAAACTGTTATAGAACTGTGCTGTATGCTACTGATGTCGATAGATATAATTATTATGTAACACTAGTCAAATGTTGAATGGCTGGTAGCAGAAGACCATGAAGATAGAATTTCAAAAAAGCAGAGAAAAGAACTGTGAATCAGAGGAATCAGATAAAATATAAAGGACAATTGTTGGGAGACTTGCGAATGAAGCGGCGAAACTCTAATTTATGAACGAATCAATCAGATTCAAGATAACAGATCTTGGATTTTGGCTTGAAATTCATACATCAAATAAAGTTTTGAAATTTAAGCTAATATCAGTTCTGTATGAAAACCCTAAATCTAATTCCTAACCTTGACCATCAACTATAAATCATAATCATTATTCTTCATACTACTTTATAATCTTTATATAGTCCTAGTTACTAGGTGGACATCCTCTTTCAAAGGTCGTCCACAAATTTCAGTCTCAACGTAATTATGTTCCATGTATTTTTGAAACTAGTACAAAGTACATATCAACTAAATATGATTGTGTTACATCCACTTGTCTATTTGAACTTTGATACAGATGGTTGATTATAAAGATCAGTCTATATTTGTTTATTTAAGAGAATATTTATTTATTCTATAAATCTTCAGTGTTGATCATCCAAATATTTTCATACCAACACAGATTTATTGTGTTATGATGAGATAGGGGGTGGGTTTTGGAGATTTTAGTTGAATTCATGAGTCAATATAAGCTAGATGATTACTGAAAACATAGGAGAAGTAGATGGCTATTTCGTCCTAGTATGGGATTCTTCACTGGTGCATATTAATAATCCTGCACTCGGGACTCGAACACAGGACCTTCGGTTTTGTACGCGAACACTTAACCTATAGACCACTAAGCCTGCATCCAACGATGTTATTGTTTAACTTCCATCAATTGATGAATGGCTGCACAGCCATTCATAAGGTGGACACCCCATTCTGATCATAATAATCATGCGCTTACTGATGAATGGCTTCAAGATGATTTCCTGAAGTTCTAGTGAGAAACCGTGACTAGTGGATTTCAATCCGTGTCCGGTAGAGATAGGTATCTACCTCAGAAAATAGAAGATGGTCGACGTTAAATGGTTGAGTCTAGACATTAACACTTTAAGTTTCCGGCTCAATAGTATAGAGGCTAAGCATTAACGAGAGAGGCTAAAGGTCCTGGTTCGAGGTCTGTGAGC